AGCCGCCCTCTTCCTCCCCGAGGTTTTCCTTGCAAAAAGACTCTAAATTTTGTCGACTGACATGAGGTGCAATGGTCTTGATCAGTAGAGTAGGCTGGAACTGGTTCTCGTCGCGGATATCAGCCCCGTTCGCCGGAAGGAGATCTCCGACGCCCAGAATCTCGTTGCTCGCGGTGGCTTCGCCCTCCTCCTTCTCAACAACACCGCCAGATCCGTTGCTCTCAGCCTTGGGCAACCCTTCCAACGAAAACTCATCAAAGGTTCCTGTCTCAAGATCCTGCTCCCATTGGCTATAGGCGCCGCGCCGAATTTCGTTAAGCTTATTGCGAAGCTCGTCGCGAATCTCAGGCACATATCTCTCTTTGAACCATTGCTCCTTTTTGTGTTCCGAAACAAATGAACGCGCCATCTTTGCTTGTAGCTCTTCCTTGTAGGCGTCGTATGCAGCTTGAATTTTGGCCTTTTCCTTTTCGCGCTCTTCCTGCGACTCGCGAGCACCACGTGGTCTCTCTGGTTCACGTCTGCGACCAGTCCGGGCCCGTTCCTTGTCATCCTTGATTTTTTCATTCATTCTCCACCATTCTCCAAAATACGAGAATCCCACCTGGTAGGGTAGGCGAGCTGGATCGGCGAGAGGATTGACCGTCACACCGGGGGATGCAGTTTCTTGTCCAGGTACATAGCGGTCGATGTTTGCCGGTGGTGAACTTATTCGTCGACGATCGTCTCTGTCTCTATCTCTGTCTTCTCGGCGAGACCGTGGCTCGTACCGGTCTACTCCAGGAGATCGCGATCGTCTGCGATCTCTTCGATCATTGCCTGTGATTGGAACAAAGTTAGTTGGTGCCGAATCTTTAAATAGAAAACGACGGACAAGGATTGCCAAACAGGCAATCACAGCATTCTATGCAAACAATCAATCTTACCCGGAGATCGTCCGCGATAAAAGGTGTCAGATCGCTCGTCCCGAGTTCTCGACTCATCTCGGCCCCAAGTCCGATCTGATGGTGATCTAGCCGAGGAGTCTCTGTACGTGCTGTAAGAATCCATTGCTACCAACAATGCTGCCGCCGAGTAAGCCGGACGTCGGCTTTTGACCTAGAAATCTGGCTTTGCCTCGGTTCATCCGACGATATAACGTATCGGAGAATGGTCGTTGAGGACACGATTGAAACGTTTGCCTGCGGTTGTGGCGACACGGCGACGGTTAGAGAACACATCTTAACAATAGGTGCAAAGAACAATAATTTAAGAGGCTAAGACACGAGAGGGAATGCCAAAGAAGGCCAAAGGAAAGATAGTAGCTAAGATCCCTCGCAGCACAGAGTGGCAGGAGGACAAAAAAACGAAGAGAAAGCGACCAATGGTCAGGGAGGATGAATCGGGTTTGGGTGGTTGGTCGACGACGATGGGGTGGATTGGCAATTGAAGCGACGAGGAGATAGGGGATCAATAAACGCAACCAAGAAGGGGGGATAACGAACTGAATTCAATGAGCACGGAAATCTGAAGCCGGCGATGCCGCGCTGATGCTTGCTTGCTGAATCGCTCTTTGGGGACGAACAGCAGCTTTGCACAGTGAAGGAGGTTGGAAGAGGCTCAATCGGAGAAGCGTGGGTGGAGCTCAAGTGCTGTCAACTCTTTCTCACCTCCCAGTCGGCTCAAGTCGCGCCTTCCTGTTGGCGACGTTGACGCCTCGGCCACCTGCAGCTCAACGACGGATGCAGACTGGTGCGAGAGTCCCAGAAATGCACTGTATGGACAGGCGTAAGAATAGCGGGGACTCACAGTCAATTAACAGTATGCAATCGCCATCCTCATTCCAGCCAATGAGAGCATTCTTTTCTTGGGTGAGGGAGGTGGCGACCTCCGCAACGGCGGCGGCGCCCGACAATGCTCTTCTGTGTGGGGAAACGATCCAAGATAAAGGGAACGGCTCAACTTCCCCAGATCCTGTATTTCTTCAGGATATTCGGAATGTACACGATATTCGGATCGACCATGCCTCTAAGGTATTTAGCCAATTCTGTCTCATGTAGGCTACTGGCTTTGGGGTCATGAGACTTCGACACGTCCAAACTTCAAGTATACGACCAACCACACTCAACCGTCGTGTTTTTAAACGAAGACTGCTGCTGGTTGTTTGATCCAAGCCATATCGACTCTTCTTGTATTGCCGCCTTCGGAGCCTACCATTTTCGCGTGGAAATGACGGGCTTGCCTACTGTCACCAGTGGTTACAATGTCGCGGTGGAGGAATTCCGTGAGCAGGAGTACCCCATGCTAAAAGGTAAACACTTATACGCGATTACATTCATCAGTGGGCATTCTTCTTACGATTGTGCAGACTCTGTCTATCTGGATCATGCGGGATCTACGTTGTGTGCCAAATCTTCAATGGATGCTTTTGCACAGGAGATGACTTCAACTCTCTATGGCAACCCTCACTCTGGCTCATGGTCATCGCAGCTTTCCACATTACGTATAGACGACATTCGATTACGATTACTACGTTTTTTCAATGCGGATGCGTCCGAGTACGACTTGGTCTTTGTTTCAAATGCCACAGCAGGTGTCAAACTCGTGGTCGAAGCCATGAGAGCGCTCCCGGAGGGCTACTCATACGCTTACCATCAAGCATGTCACACCAGCTTGGTAGGCGCCAGGGAAGACGCAAGACTGAGCATATGCGTTGATGACGTTGACATGGGTTCATGGCTGCGGGGCGAAGATCCATTCCCGTCCACCGGCCCGTCTTCAGCAACCCTCTTTGCCTTTTCTGCCCAATCTCATATGGACGGGCGACGGTATCCCCTATCGTGGCCGAGAGAACTTAAAGATAATTCGGATGGCAAATCAACACCTTTATTTACCCTCCTTGATGCAGCTTCGTTTTCTGCTACATCTCGACTAGACCTCAGCTCGCCTGATTTCGCTGCAGACTTTGTAGTTCTCAGCCTGTACAAAATATTCGGGTTTCCCGATTTGGGAGCACTAATAGTTCGACGTTCCGCAGAATGTATTTTTGACCGGCGGCGTTATTTCGGCGGCGGCACAGTTGATGTGGTCACTTGCAAGAAGGAGGAGTGGCATGCGAGGAAAACCCAGTTTCTTCACGAACGCCTGGAAGACGGCACACTGCCATTCCACAATATCATAGCCCTGGACTCAGCAATGAAAATGCACTCCAAGTTATTCGGCTCCATGGATCAAGTCGGCGCACACACTTGTTCCCTGTCTCTGCAACTATTCGATGGGCTGGAAAGCTTGCGACATGGCAATGCTGTACCAGTGTGCGTCATGTACACCCACCGTCCAGATCCTGCCGACTTACTAGGAACGGGTCCAGTAGTTTCGTTCAACCTAAGGAACAGCGCAGGCGGTTGGGTTAGCTTGGCAGAAGTCGAAAAACTGGCCATTCTTCATAAGATTCATATTCGAACGGGCGGTCTATGCAGCCCGGGAAACATAGCCGCTGCTTTGGGTCTAGAACCATGGGAGATGAAGCGAAATCTATCTGCAGGAATCCGATGTGGTGCTGATAGCGAGCTTATGAATGGCAAGCCTACTGGTGTTATTCGAGCAAGTGTGGGCGCCATGAGCACCAACTCTGACATTGAACGATTCCTCGAATTTGTAAAGGAGTTCTTTGTTGAAGAGCATCCTACGCTCGTATCACCCAGCGAGAAGACCGAGAAAAAACTCCAAGAGCCACCCAATTTTCGAGTTAAATCCATCACGGTCTTCCCAATCAAAAGCTGCGGTGGCTATGTTGTACCGCCAGGTGTGCAATGGGATGTGAAACCTGAAGGACTAGCGTGGGATCGTGAATGGTGTCTAGTTCACCCAGGCTCAGGCCAAGCACTCAGTCAGAAACGCTACCCCAGGATGGCACTCTTCCGCCCAACACTGGATTTCGAAAAGGGTTCCTTGCGGGTGACATATGACGGAACAGGCAGCGACGTGGGCCTACCAGAGGTTCAGATCCCACTATCCGCGAACCCATCCTTGTTTGGCGAGGAATCTGAACGAGTGTCCTCCCAAGTTTGTGGAGAGGAAATTTCTGCTCAAGCATATATTTCGCCCGAAATCAACGACTTCTTCTCCCAATGCCTAGGCGTTCCGTGTGTGCTAGCAAGGTTCCCTGCTGGCGGTCGTGGCCTCACGAGCCGTACCGTCAAGGCACGCATCCAGAAACACCAACATACTAAACTGCTGTGCACGCTACCTGGCTCGTTTCCTGATATTCCGTCACCCCCAGACTCTGACACAGAACAGCCTACTGAGGGCAAAATACTACTAGCCAATGAGAGTCCGATTCTGCTAGTAAACAGCAGTAGCGTGGATGCCCTGAACGACAATATCGTTAAGAGAGGTGGCACGGGAGTCCCAGATGATTCCTTCAGAGCAAATATAGTCATTGAAGCGGACCAAGGGAGCAAGCACACTGCCTATTCGGAGGATACCTGGAGCAAGATCCGCATCGGGAGCCAAGAATTCAAGCTGCTCGGCGCCTGTCGACGATGTCAAATGGTCTGTGTTGACCAAACATCCGGTATCAGAAGGCAGGAACCGTTTTCAACGCTGGCAAAGACCAGGAGGATTGATGGAAAGGTGTATTTTGGAGTGCACATGAAACATGAGCCTAGGCCTAGAGATGTGCGCTTGGTGAACCAGTCACCTACAATTCAGGTCGGAGAGGCTGTTACTGTTGACGGATGGATACCATGATTACAACGACTGACACCAACGACGAACTTTGTATAATTATAAATGTATGCAACAATATCTCCTGGCCATCATCTTGCACGGCATGTATAAATTATTCTGGGTGGGGGAATCATTTGCCAGCGTGATAATAGAGGTGCATGGAAAATGAAAGGGTCTCGAGCTTTCGCCGTCTTGTGATCTTGTATTTGATGTACAAGTATTACGATGTCGATTTCAATACCTGCAGACGCAACGTGGTTAGCTCGTATCAGTCAGCACTATGCGAACACTTACGAGAATGATTCCAAGTGAAACCAAACCTCAGACGCCCCAGTGTGTCCACTCAGAATACGTTGCTGTTGTGCTGCCGCCTCACTTGCAACGTCGTACACCATTCCGGCTGGTCCACAGACTGCAATGCCAACAGTGCCAACAGACTGCTGGAGTGACGCCTCCCTAACCGTGGCTCCTGTGTCAGGGCGTCCACGGAAGACCTTGATGCCAAAGAGGGAGGTAGTTGAGTCAGCAGATGACTGTACCCTTGGCTCCTCTTTACCCCTCTCCTCATCACTACTCGAAGACGTGGTTCTTGATACTGGAATTCCCACGGCCGTATCATACGTTTCATAGAGAAGTATACTTACTCCAGGAAACTCGGTTGCTCCAGAACCGCGCTGTCGCTCTGCAACACGCTGCAACTCCTCGGTATACCATATTCGCATTTCCACATCCTTAGTGGCCAAGACGACCTTTAATTCACTTGTAGAGTTGGAATCACGCCGACTCAGCCAATCCTCAATAAGAGGGAAAGTAAATGAAGACCCAGAGCCGCCTGCGATGAGTATCGTGCGGTCAAATCCCTTATACCAGCGCCCGGGCAAACCTCCATATGGACCATCCAAGAGGACTCTGAGGCTAGCATGTTCCTGTTTCTGAGCCATGCTAGCTAGTCGATTGGTCAAACCTCCCAGTGGTTTAAGGTAAAAAACCATCTCGTTGTGCTGAGTACCCTTTAAAGGAGCTGAACATATGGTAAACGGGTGCGCTGTGACGGAGTGAAGGCCGCCTGTTAGAAAACGGAGATATGCATGCTGGCCTGGCTTCCACTTGGATTTTGTAAGGACAGTGATGCGCAACGATTGGGGAGACTCCATACTGAGGATGGCAGTGCGTCCAATGCCATGCTTCAAAGTCCTGGCCAGGGCGTAGAACAGACTACTCAAATAGATGACTCCAGCGGCAATGAAGTAGTCCCAAGATGTCAGGCGGAAACTACAGTGGAGGAAAAAGAAAACCAAGAAGACGGCTGCAAAAAAGTAATGCGTCGACTTGAAGAATTCGTACCACTTATTTCTGTTAGGAATTCGTCAGCGCGGGCAACTGTTGCAGTGCTAACCGATGATATGCGTACCGAATCCAAGAGACGGACATGAATGTTAGCCAGGCTTGGGCTATGATGGCAACCACACCGGTTAGCCATACGCCTCCTGTGCGAAAGGCGGTGGTCAAATCGCCTTTGTCACGGTGGTAGACGATGAAAGGAAATGTGTGGATGAGGGCCAGTACCAGCATCGCCCAGCTAACCCAACTATGCCATGTGTTTAGTCTCTCGGTTGATATACCGGTCAATGCAGTAACCATGCTGGCTTTGGCCCCGAAGGCGAGTATAAACGGCATGCAGGCCAAAGCCATCCACCCAGTCCGCGTAGCGATAGGAGGCGAGTTTCCATAGCGAGCGTCAGTTGGCCAGTAGTACGGCCGGGGTCCCAAGGTCAGCGCTGAAAAAAAGACGACGCCGATTGCCGCGAGGAGAAGGACTCCAAGAGACTGGGAGTACCAACTACCAATTCGCCAACTCTTGTAAGATAGGAAGCGAACAGCCGACACGCAGCAGCGCCATGATTTTCTCTGGGTTATCATGGTAGCCGGACTAAAGTCCGAGGCAAATCTACCAACGGTAAATACTGTTATGGCAGATACGAAAAGATATACCACGGGGAGGCAGTAAACCAGATCCGCCTCGTACCTGAGATATGGTCAGTAAATAAAGGTTTGAGAGGAGAAGACAGGTTGATGTCAAGTAGCCGACTTACCAGAATACCCAGTAGCTATTTTTTAGGACACATTGATCCGGCTTCAGAGTGCAGGTTCCCGGATTTCGAGAGGAGTGAAACTGTATTGGATTATTCAGTATTGGCAGAAACGGCGTTGAAGACATGCCCGAGGAGGCCATTCGCGGGGAGGCCATGCCAACAGAAGTCATCTCAGAAGAAGAAGCCATAACGGGATGTGTCGTCATGGTGCGTCCCAATTCAATCCCCTGGATAAAACCTGAGCCTGGAACACGATGGTTTACGTTAGGCAGAAGGGTGTAGGAGAAAGAATGGCAATGACACTGGAGACGGCGGCAGACGAGCGGAACAAAGTGAAGGCAAAGCCGGTACAAATAGATAACCTACCGGGCTCCCATAGAAAATGAAGAAAACAGATGAAGACGTTACTTTTGTAATTAAATATAGGCAGTATATAGGACCGAATGTGAATGCATCATGGCCCCCTTTGACATGATACAGTTATGCACGGCGTGGTACCAAGCTTGATACATAATCAGATCGTGTCATGGCACCGTTGGCGCCATACCTTGTAAGTCCATGCAGATGGCGAGGCAGTGATCAAAACATCCGAAACGTTCTCTACACGAACTCACTTTGCTCATGGCCAGTCATGGAAGGTGATGCCGTCCAGGGGCCCCAAAATATGCGCATATTTGAGCATCTTCCATTACCTAAGCTTGGTTTGAGATGGCACGGCCGAGAACCTGCCAGACACACGGGGATCATAGGGGCCTGGGTTGCAACACTGCCCAGGTCAAAAATTGAATGTATTGGACGACAGTTTAATGTGACACGGCTGCGTTCTGCTGGGAGCCAGCTGGAGTCGAAGATCTGGGCTTGCTGAAGATGACGCAGTTGCGCAAGTTTGTCCTTCCGCTGAAACACTCGAAGAAAAGCGAAACAAGCTGCATTTGTGCTTGTTGAACCGGAAAAAGAGTAGATTGCCCAAGCCCAACGAAGAATTCATGGAGATCAAAGGGCTATCCGCATTGCTGCTCATGGCTGCTGTGTGGCGGCGTTCCGCTCGCGAAGGATGATTTCATTATGCTGAGATCGAATTTAACATTAGGTTGGGCTTCCGCCGGGTGGCGCCTGCCCACCGAGATGGTGCATGACACCTTCCATATTTTGACTTATGCCGACTTTCTCCATGCCATTCAATGTTGCGTTTTGATTTCATCTCCTTGCAATACATTTCTAAGGCTCCCTGTGTGGGAGATTGGCGCATTTAATAAGAATAGCCACACATCCGCATCGTCAACGCTTGTTAGTCTGTGGATGTCGTGATACAGGGAAACGCCTCCCCCCAAAGCAACTCATCACTGGCGGACCGTGAAACAGCATGAGGACCAACCCGAACAGGCCGTGATTGCAAGCTTATTTCCCGTCTATCTCCGTTACAATTGCCAAGATGGAGATGCATGCTCAGATGGGTCATTCGCGAGCGTGTTGTCACAGTTGTCACTATCCCCCACGGAGACCATGTAAGTCAAGGTCAGGAATCGCGTGGGGAATGGCTACGCTGCATTGTGCGGTACACACGCAACTGACGACAAAAGATAGAGCTAAGGAGCCGCACGGAGTACGATGCCCGTATCTCAAGACGACTATTTCAATATACACGTGGTTGAACGAGGTCTCCTACAAGCAACTTGGTACAAGGAGATGCACCATCATGGTCCTGGAGTATTCGACATTCTCCTTTGGAAGAAGGCAAAAATTGCACTATTCAGCAATCACAGAACACACTGGCGGTGTTTGCAGCTAGCTCAACACACTACGTTACTTTATCCGCAAGGGAAGGCGACTTCCCAATCGCAGTTCGATTTGACAATTTCCGTGACATAGAATACAAGGGAGAAAGAAAACTGGTAACTTACCTAGCAGTCTATTTGGGTGCATTCCCCCCACTGAATTTTTTACCATGCAAGATAGGGTTACAACTTTACTACTAAACCGGGAGAAGCAGGATTCACTGACAAAGAGAGAGCAGCTTCCGCTCAGCTTATAATGGAAATTCTTGGGCGTTAGTATGGACGTCTAAACTTGACCATCTACTAAGTATACATGATAGACCGTCCGGATGCGTATCCAGCAGTCAGCCACGGCAATGTCAGATAGCTACCAAGTGAGTCGAGAGGCAGGAAGGTTATTAACATGGGCCTGGCCTTGTTTAGGTGAGTGACATAGCTCGCTTGCCGAGCTGCGATACAAGAGTGCGAACATTGCGTCGTTATGTAGCATAAATTCGTCATGGAAGGTAATTTGCTTGAAAAAATCAGTGATTTGACCTGTTGACTCTATGGGGATTCTCTCAAAACGCCATTGTTTTATTCGACGTAAACTGGTCACTCCGATTAAATACACCGCCAGCAGTGATCACAGCCGCAAACTTCCATAGCAAATAATCCCAACCCCACGGTATCAGCACACATATATAACATAGCGACACCCAAGCTAGCCTCAGGACTAATCCTCGTGGCAAGAACCGTCGCCTCCTCTTTTGCTTAACCTCAAGCATTGAGCTACGCCAGTGTGGGAGTTGGAATAATGTCCTAGAGACTGTTAGATCATATGTCATTCAGTGTATGTGACTTCTGTGACGTACCCTGCGGCCAAGAGCCTGAAGTAGCTCATCATCGGGAGATCGTTATGCCATGGGCTTCTTGGCTTTAGAGACCTGCATCTTGCCCTTGTTATTGTTGTTGTTATTGCTGTTGTTATTGCTCTTGTTGCTGTTATTGCTGTTGTTATTGTTGTTATTATTATTGTTGTTGTTGTTATTATTATTGTTGTTATTGCTGTTGTTGTTGTTGTTGGCCATATTTTTGTTGTTGCTCTTGTTGCCGTCCTTACCGCCTCCAGATTTAGATGCCCCCGAATTTCCGGAGTTTGCTTGCTTGTCGTTATTCTTGCTTCCGCCACCCTCCTTTTGCTTTCCTTGCATATTCTTGTTTGAACCCTGATTTTTCTTACCAGCCGCTGCCGCATCCCCATTGCCACTTCCTTTCCTAGCCTCCGTCTGCTCCGGTTCAGCTGATGACGTGGTCGTCGACTCTGAAACATTGGGCAAAGGCTTCAACCCTGCCACCGGCTCTTCTTCGCCTTCAACTCCGGGAAGCGGCAACAGTCCCTCCTTTTGGCCATCTTTATTCACATCCTCCGTGGGCTTGGGCGCCTGTTCGTTCACGCCCGTCACCATCGCGTCAACTACCTGCGTCCCCGACATGTGTAGCTTGATTGGTTCAGTAGGCAACGGCAACAGCATCTGGCTCGTACTCGTCACCCTCTGCGTCGCCACCACTCCCTCGCTATCCGTGGCCACTACATCCGTGGCAATAGGAATGAGACGCGTCACAATAGCAGGCTGCTGTACGAGGGACAGTATGGTGAACTCCTCTGATACGACAACGCGGGCTTTGGAGTCGACGATGACCATGTTGAAGCTGGGGAAAGCGGCAATGGAAAGATCAGGTGCCCATTGTAACAGCCCACTGTTTTGAATGCCAACTGTATTGCCATTAGTTGAGATCATCTCAAAGGGTTCGGCAGACAAACCAGCCACCTGCTGTGCAATGACAGTCCGTCCTGCTACACCCGCCGGCACCAGGTTAATCGCGATCGGTTCCTCCAGCCCAGCCGTATTCCATGTGATATCAATCTGCTTGTCGAGCTCTAGAGCCGATTCCTTTGACGGCGACGAAAACTGTGCCGTGACACAACCTGCCAGAACAGGTAGAAAGATGGACCGCATTGTGAGTATTGGTAAGGACTGGGAGAGCAAGGTAATCAACGTGAACTTCTACAGAGTAGGGAAATGGCAGGAAGAGATGTCGACGGCGATACCAAGGTTTTTGTCTAGGCAACCCCCCCAGAAAAACACCACGACTACAAACCGTCCCCGAGACCCCGTGGTGAGGAAACGCCCATATCCGAAGTTTGATCAGCGACACACCCAGTTTGGAGCGACGCCAACAAGACCATCAAGTTGATGCACCCGCACGACTGCCACGCTTGACCTGCAGGCAGCGGAGCACACTTAAAGTTGATGATGAAACGGGAATGTGAGCCAGAGACTAGCATTAAGAAGCTGATACAGGGGCAACCAAAGTGAGAAGATAAAGTGAAACTGCGCGGCGGGAGATAGATTAGATGAAAAGCGCCGCTGTTGACACGCAACGCGGGGAAATGACCCATCACGCATTGCATTTGAGGAATTTTCCGAGTGCCGAAGTTTTTCTCGCCAAGGAAATGCGGTTGTGTCACCTCAAGCGCAGCATCATCTAAGATGACCTCTGTGGCTGAGAATCTGCAACAGATGGGACGATCAAACAGCTTCAGCAAGAGCCGTTCAGACGACCACGGGGCAGTGCTCCATGACCAGGGCAAAAGGTCGTTCTTGGCGACAGTTTCATCCAGTATCTCACGGCGTCATAATCTGTTCCTTCTTTTCAAGCCAAGCTAAAAATTCACACCGTCGTACAGCCGTGTCAAATGCAACGAACATGCTAATCCCATTTACACCTAAACCCGGTCTACCTAGCAAACAAGATATTAAACAAAAACAGAGAGAAAGGGGAACCAAAAAAAAAAAGGACATACACCGGCCAATTACCAGGTCTGCGGCAACAGACATCACGCCATTCTCCGTTTTATGATTCTTTCAAGAATCTCCCAGCATCGAGCCATTCATCCTTCTGAGACCGTACGTCTACAGGTCCTGATTATGAGCATCGCCCGGTGTGCCTGAGGCGTCTACGTGAAAGGCGTCGCCAAATGCAGAGTCATCCATGTCCATCTGCAAGTCTAAATCCTCACCAAGCCCCCCGGCCGAGCCATCCAGATCAGGGGCATCGTAGCCCGCCATAGCATCGCCTGCGGTATCCAGGTCACCTAGTGAGCTGAAGTCGTTTTGGTCGAACGAGGCGGAACCACCATCCGTAACTGCCGGGGTGGCGGCTGCGGATATAGGCTTCGTAGGAACCGGCGCCAGCTTTTGTTGCGCAGCCAGTCCGGTGCTCGCCTCGGCTGTAACGGTTGGAGCGGCGGCGGGCACAGCAGCAGTAGTAGTAGCAGTCACGGCAGCAGCACTCGAGATCGCAGATGGCGGGCCATTGGCATCTGGAGATGCACCGCCCTTTGGCACCACAACCCAATCACCACTGTCAGTTCCCTGATCTGCCGC